GCGCGTACTCGACTGTTTCGCAAGCAAAAGTGCGCAATGCGTACGTCACATGTCGCCTAGCCCGCTTGTTTCTGGCACCGGCAAATTTCACAGTGCCGGCGGTATAACCAGCGTAAAGGCAAGCCATGCTACAACGTGGGCTCCGCGCACGACATACGGCCTCCTGCTTCTCGACGATCAGTTCCACCCCAGAGAAACTGTGGAGCTGCATCGAATTACTACAGTTGGGCGTATTCCTGGCTCACCACCTGGAAGCCCATGGAATTAAGCGAATAAGTACCCCATGATCATTGCATAGTATATACGCGGTTCACAAGAATAACTTTTGTCGAGGTCCAGCTATCGCGAACCTGGGAACCATGGTGGTAACCATTTCGCTGGTCGTGACAAGCGCGCGTCGGCTTGCACGTAGTTATTCACAACAGCCAATATCCTGAATGTCCCAAACAAACTTGTCTACGGGGGGGCACAGTGTCATCTTGAAGAGACGAAATGAAATGATTCATCTGGCGTGACAAGTTCTGTACTATGACGCAAAGGCTCAAAAACGAATTTCCCCGATGCAGTAGTATATTTTCAAGAGGACTGGTGCAGTGGGAGATTTGGGTTCGTGAGACTTTGCAACTTGGACGGTCGACATTATGTACGAATGTGCAGTCTGCATCAGTGTCTCCACCCTTCAGTGTTTGTCAGTTCATAGACCTCCGATGCCTCTGTAAAAAGGCGCATGAACTAAATGCGCCCCCGACATCAGTATCAGGCATTTCAACCAGCATCTGGAGGGCTGTTGATAGGTTCATTATTCACCCGGCATTGATTGCCAGTAGCAGCGCGGACGGGGCCTGTCCTCGCTAGGAGAACTGACGATATCCGAAAGGCGGTCAAACGGATAGGAGACACTGCTCACGCGCTGACTATCTGCCGAGAAGATGGCCGAATATTTGCTGGATTTTAGAACCTTGAAGAAGAAGAACGCGGTAGCAGCAGAGACAGCCACAACGGCAGCCGCTAAGATCATCGACATTGTGTCTTGCTTCCTCTGTACCGGTGGATTGGCACTCTGACCAAACGTGCCAAGGCCATTCTGCACGTAAATGACGTCATGGCTGCCAACAGGCGCGACCGGTTCTTGATCGACGCCCGTCGCCTCCGCTAGGATTGCCACGGAGGCAGCGAAAAGTGACGAGGCCACAAACATTTCGAATGTTAAATGGGCCTGTTATCGTGCTTTGTATAGGATAAAAATAGACCCCTTAAAATTTCAATGTGGTTGTAGAAAATGGGCTTCTTGTGAACTTAGCCAGCAGCACGCAGGCACGTATTGCAGGCGCGCATGTACAATCGACTGCACAACTCCACTGCATCTGACGCTAGTGTGTAGATTATGCTTCCTTCCTTTCTTTTATGGAATATATTCGCTTTATATCACGAAAATAAGTGGAGTGGTGCTACTGTGAACCCGCTTGCCGCAGGAACAACTGTAGAATGACCCGCCGGATGACCGTTTATGCGCTTGAACGGCCACTTGGTTGGAAACGCACATAAGGCGGGATTTGCCTTAAAGCCTTGAACAATTCTTTTGTCCAAATGGCGTTTCGTTTCATTCGTTGCTGTGCTGCTCTGCGACGATAGTCGTTGATCGCAGTGGAGGACCGTCGCCGTAGCATTCTCTGTGTGAAATTGGCACGTGTATCATTACTTGTGAGCATGCTGGCTATACAAGGCCAAGGTAGTGTTCAGCAATTTTCTATAGTGTCAATGCATGCAGCTAAAGGGGTGTTGTAGCGCTCAGGGTCCAATGGTGCTCACAAGTTCACGGAAGTCACGCGAATCTGCTGTTAACAAAGGAGAGCCGAATGTATACTCTTTAGTACTGAACTACTATCAGCTTCTGAAGAGAAACTCCAAGGATATTGCTCCGAAGGCATAAGGCAGTGACTTTCAGATCGTAGAGGTAACATCCCCTACATAGTGAGCTGATAGAGGCTAATATCATGGAACATGGGAACCCCGAGTTGTAACTATTTTGTTCCGTGTGCTCCACATGTTGTAGAAAATGTCCTGTTCCGACTGATATTGGTTCTGCGTTCCCTGGTGGAGACTACCGCTAGATACGGGATGTAGCATGAGTTAGCGCAGAAGCCTTCCCAAGGTTTTGGCACTGTAACACACACGGTGGGCGTTTGCCGTGGCTACGTCTGTCCCTTGAATAGTCCCGTGATCTCAACGTCAGTGGACCTACAGTATGAATACCTAAATAACATCAGGTTTCTGTTATTCCCAGGGAAAATCCCAAAATTACGGAACTTCCGGTGGGAGAATCGATCGAAATCGCTTCCCACATAGTATCTGCTTTCCCTTGCCAGGCGCGAGCTGGCCAGCCAATCCGGGACCAGGTGCAACGGTCAGAATGCCGGCGAGCCCTGGCCCTAGACCTCCAACCACTAATATATTCATAATCCCACTAATACTACTCAATTCTACTTATACTTGGACCAAGAAAGTCTAAGACCTCGAATACCTCAGGGTATGCACTCTCCATCTTGCTCTTAGGCTATCGCAACCTGTGGGCAATGTAGTGTCTATGCACTACAGGCACGCTGCTTGTAAGGGCTTGCAAAAGTTCTACAAGTTCGTTCAAAGGCAAAGCATGCGACAAAGGAAGCTTCGCTGAAGCCTCCTTACGTGCACGCGTGGGGCTGGCTTGTACTACCAGCCGCAGCGGGGTGCGCTGCAACCCCATTTCTGGCTGCCTCCTCCCCGCAACACCCAGGCCCT